TCAGGGCAATTGAAAGCTCTCAGATGGTTTTAGAAAAGAGTAATGTGTTATATGTTTTTTAAAAGGTCACTGTGATTGCAGTGTGGAGAATAGATTGTAGTGAGGAGAGGGAGTAGAGAGAACCAGCTAGGAGAGTTTTGGAGGAGTCAGGGCAAACATTGGTGGTAGCTCAGGCTATGGAAGTAATGATGGAAGGGGGAAATAGACTACTTTGGGATGTATTTTAGAGGTAGAGGTATTGCTGCTGAGTTGGATGAGATAAAGAAAAAGATTCCTGCACTTGGATAACTAGATGCTAAGGACCATCTTAGGCTGGGTTCTCTGAAGAAGGAAAACCAGTGAAGTGTGTGTGTGTGTGTGTGTGTGTATAGAGAAATTTATCTCAAGGAAATGGCTCATGCTCTTGGTAGAGGCTGGCAAGTCCCAAGTACATGGGTCAAATGTCAAGCTGGAGGCTTCTCCTTACTGACACAGCTGTAGGCACTGATGAACTCAAGATCAATAGGCAATATAGCAGGCTTCTGGCTTTGGAGACTGATAAACCCAAGACTGGAAGGTTAAATGCAGATTGTTGGCTCACAGCCCACGAATGCAACACTCCCAAGATTAGCAGGCAGTATGGTAGACCACTGGTTCAAGTCCAAGAACCGATGAGCTAGATTCAAGATTAAGATCCACCAGAAAACCAAAGAGTTTTCCCAGGACATCCATATCTGTGTTGGAAGCAGGCCACACCCCTAAAGAAACTCCCTTTCAGTTTATTGGCTGTTCTTATAGCATATCTCATCATGGAGGTGATTACATTATATCACATCTCATCATGGGGAATGACTACATCATAATCTCTAAACCATTTAGAATCATGGTCCAGCCAACTTGATACACAACCTTAACTATCACAGGGACATTTACTGAGATGGGGAAAATGGGGAGGACAAGTTTTTGTTTTTGTGTTTTGAGGAGGGCCATGGAATCAAGACTCGGTTTGATCTCTATTCTGCTTGAGCAGCTTATTAAACACCAAATGGAGATGACGAGTAGGCAGTTGGAGAAGAATGGCTAAAGTTAAGTGGAGAGCTCTGGATTGGAGGTATAAATTTGAGTCAATAGCATATAGATGGTATTTAAAGCCATGTTATTATTGTTAAGTGTCATTGAATAGGTTCTGACTCATAGTGACCCTATGTACAACAGAACAAAACACTACCTGGCTCTGCAGGTGTGGAAACCATAAAAGCAGATAATGTAAGAAGAGTGTGAGAGAGGAGAAAGGAGAAAAGTTCAAGAGTCAAGCCTTGTTTGAACAGAGGCAAAGGCTGAAAAAAACTAAAAAGGAATGATCAGTGAAGTAGGAGAAAAACCAGGAGAGTATGGCATCACCAAGTCAAAAGCAGAATGTTTCAAGGAGAGAGTGGCCACTACTTGTGTCAACACCTGTGAAGAGGTGCAGACTGAGTCGTGTCTGGTAGATTTGGCAGTGTGGAGGTCATTGATGATATTGACAAGGGCATGCGGGAAATGAATGCCCAGAATGATTGGGTTGAGAAAGGATGTGAGGAAATAGCACCAACCCAGATGTCAGAAAACTTGGGTTCTGCCACGAGCTAACTTGGTGGCAGTGATCAAATCATTACATCTCTGGAGGCCTCAGTTACTTCATCTGCAATATGGACATGTTGG